GATAAAATTGATCATGCTGTTCTCGACTTAGAAGCTGCTGCTCCATCTGACAAACCAGAAATTAGTCGATACATTGATACACTTAAATCAGAGTTAAATGGATCACTTAATAGAAAGAATTCATTAGTAAATGGTATCAATGCTTTGTTAAATACTGTCCCAGCTAATGTCAAAGAACATATTATTAGTGATCTTCATTTAGAAAGAAGACTTAATATTATTGATGATATTCTTGGTGAGGCTAAAACAGCTCCAAAGGTTGTTGCTCCAAAAGCCACTAAATCATCAACTCAAGCACCACAAGTAATTACTAAATCAACTGCTAAAGTTGCTTCATCAGTAGCAAAGGAACCTGCAAAGACTGAAGAAAAGAAAACAGAAGTAAAAGCTGCTGTTAAAAAAGCAGAAAAGAAGGTAGAGAAAAAGGTAATGAAGGCAGAAAAGAAAGCAGAAAAAACAGTCAAAAAGGCAGAAAAAGAAGCTAAAAAAGTTGCTGAATCTGTTAAGAAAGAAGCTAAAAAATTATTAAAGAAAGCTAAAGAAGAAGCTAAGAAGATGACTTCTAAAGCCAAGAAAGCAGCTGAAGAAACAAAGAAGGCTGCTAAAGCTGATACTAAGAAGAGCGAAAAGAAAGTAAAAGAAATTAAGAAAGCAATGAAAAATTTGAAGAAAGAAGTTAAACAAGAAACTAAAGAAGCCACTAAGAAAGCTGCTAAAGATGCCAAGGCTAAAGCTAAGGAAGTTTCTAAGAAGATTTCTAAACAATCAAAAGCTACCGTTGAAAAGAAGGTTTCTGCTGCTAAGAAACAATTAGAGAAGAGTGAAAAACAAACCAAAAAAGAATTAAAGGCTAAAGTTGCTGTTGCCCAAAAGAAAGCAGAAAAGGCTAAGAAAGAAGCTAAGAAGAGTGGAAAGAAGGCAGAAAAGAAAGCTGCTAAAGTAGCTAAGAAAGCAGAAAAGAAGGCAGCTGAAGCTAAGAAGACTGCTACTAAATCAGCAGCTAAAGCTACTGAAAAGGCTAAGAAATCTATTGAAAAGGCTAAATCAGAATCAAAGAAGGCAGCTAAGAAGGTAGAAAAGAAATTGAAAGAATCAAAGAAATCATTGAAGAGTAAGATTAAGGTTGCATCTAAGACTGCTAAGAAAGCTGCTAAAGCAGAAAAGAAGGCTGAAAGCAAATTAAGCAAGATTAAGAAGGATGTTAAGAAAGGAACTAAGACTGCTGCTCAACTCAAGAAGGTACAATCTCAAGTTAAGAAAGCCAAGAAGAATGCTAAGAAAGCTCTTTCTAAAGAATCAAAATTAAAGAAATCATTAGCTAAGAAGATTAGTAAGACTTCTAAGAATGCTAAAGCTATTGCCAAGAAGTCAGCTAAGAAAGCTGCTAAAAAGGCTGAAAAGAAAGCAGAGAAGAAAGCTATTAGCAAAGCAAAGGCTTACACTAAGAAGAATACCAAGAAGATTGCTAAAGAAGATAAGAAAAAACTTAAGAAGGTTCAATCTAAGTTAGAAAAGAAAGTTAAGAAAGTAGAAAAGAATGATAAGAAGGCTCTTGCTAAAGTAGCTAAGAAAGACAAGAAAGCACTTGCTAAAATTACTAAGAAAGTTAAGAAGGTTCAAAAGAAAGATAAGAAAGCTATTGCTAAATTAGCTAAAAAGGACAAGAAGGCTCTTGCTAAAATTGCTAAGAAGGACAAGAAAGCTATTGCTAAATTAGCTAAGAAGGCTAAAGACGCAAAGAAAGTTGCTAAGACTGCTGCTAAAAAGGCTCAAAAGAAAGCAACTAAGGCTGCCAAGAAGGAAGCTTTAAAGGCTAAATTATCTGCTAAAAAGGCTGAAAAGAAACTTGCTAAAAAGGTTAAAGCAGTTAAGAAAAATGAATCTAAATTAATCAAAAAGAATAATAAGAAACTTGCTAAGAAAGCCGCCAAAGCTGCTAAGAAAGAAGCTTTAAAGGCTAAATTATCTGCTAAAAAGGCTGAAAAGAAACTTGCTAAAAAAATTAAAGCAGTTAAAAAGAATGATGCTAAATTAATCAAAAAGAGTAATAAGAAACTTACAAAACTCTCTAACAAGGCTGCTAGTAAAGTAACCAAGAAGAGTACTAAAAACACTAAATTTGGAAAAAAAGCTGCAAGTAAAATTAATAAGAAGGCTAAACTTCAAAAGAAAAAAGTAAATTCATTACTCAAGAAGGCTTCAAAGAATGCATCACCAAAGAAGATTAAGAATTTAAAGAAAGCTGAAAAGAAGTTTATTAAGAAAGAAAAGAAATTAATCAAATTACAAAAAAGATTCGCAAAAGCTTCAAAATCAGAAAGAAAAACTCTTAAAGCAAAAATTGTTCAAGTCAAAAAGGCTGCTAAAGCTGCTAAAAAGTCTGTTAGAAAAGCCACTAAGAGTGTCAAAAAGTCAATGAATCAAAATAGAAGAAGAAAATAAATTAATTTCATTTGATACTTTTTTTATTTTTTGTTATTTGTTTTAATATTTAAATTTTTATTAATAAGAAAATAATTAATTAATACTTCTAATTTTAATTATGATTATTGAAAATAACAAACAATATAAAGATTTTAGAAATTGCCACTTCAATTAAAATGAATAACGGTCTAAGAAGGATTGAATCATTCCTTCAATATCGGACTTATAAGTAATTAAACTAACTTTACCATCTACCATTTTAGTATTGCATTGAATAAAACCTGAACGAGGAATCTTTTTGTTAATAACAATTTCTCTAAACTTTAATTCATCTTCATTTGGAGTAGACAATGGAATGAAAAATGAATGTGCATATTCTGTGTCAGCAGTGGCTCTACAGACTTGAATTTTTAATAATAATTCCTTCAATGCTTCAATACCTTTTGGAATTAATTCTCTATGTAACACAATATTCTCTCCAACAACTTCAACTGCACCACTCTTTTCAACTGCCTTAAATAAAGCAAATCGAGCTTGGCAATGTGCTTGTCCCCAACTTTTAGTTTCTGGGTTATAGAATTTTAATCCAGTTAATCCACTTCTCATCTCAGATAACCAGTTAATGTATTGAACATCTTCTGACAAGTTTAGGATTTCTTTAACAATTGGATTATATGTCAAGAATAATCCAACAGCTTCAGCTCTACACTCTTCCATTGCACTTCCAAGTGACTTAAAGACTGTGTCATATGTCATTTTATCTTGATAATATTTAACTTTTTCCCCAGTCAAAGGATTAGTAAGGTTTTCAGGGAAATTCTTCTTTCCATTATCACATCGAAGATATTTACCACTTCCATGACCAAGAAGTTCATGCAAAGCAACTTGAGTTTCTAATGCACGAGGAGAACATGTTTTGTATAATGTTTGTTGTTCAAGACTTATGAAGGGAATATTATCTTGGCTAGAGCCACATGCCATAACATTAGATAATGACACATTCTTAAATTGTTCCATTCTAACGTCATCATAATTAGGTAAATTAATTCCAATTGGAAGTCCTGAAGTTCCAAATCCAACTATATCAATTGATGTAAAATCAGGGGATTCAAATACATCTTTCTCAAAAACCTTACCCCAAGGAAGTGATGGTAATATTTCATTTGCTCTTTGAACCAATTCAGTTAATTCTTTTGTTTTCTCTTTATCTACTACTGCAACAAACATCTCCCATTCTCCACGAACTCCAATAGGATCTTCATATGTTTCAATAAACCCAACATTAAATTCAACAGATGGTTTTTGGTCTCTTACCCACCATCTTTGTGCTTCTTTATGAAGGTTATAATTATTAGTAAATGTTTGGATATAATTTTTAAACATTTCCTTTTTATTTTTGTCTTTTTGAACTAACTCTAATTTTTCACATTCTTTTAGTTCATTTACTAACATTTCTAACTCAGAATGACACCATCCATACTTTAATATTACATCTTCATATTCTTCTTCTCTTTCTTCTATTGAGGCAATTCCAATAACTAACTTATTATTAATTTTATCAATTCTTGTATTTTCTAATAACATTCCTTTCTTTTGTAATAATGCATTACAATGCTCAATATCTTCTTTAGTGATATTAGAAGAATAATAAGCAGTACATCCTTCAGGTGGAATTCCGAAATGAATAAGACATGGAGTTACATCATATATAATATCAATTAGCGACTCAAAATAATTATGTCCAGATGCGTTAATTATAGTTGTAAATTCTTCTTTGCTACATTCAGGAATAAACTTTTTATCTCCAAACGACAAATAATTTCCTCCATTGGCAAAGAAGGTTGAGACATAATCCTCATATTGTTCTTTTGCACTGTCTGATACTTCAGACTTTTTCAATAACTCTACATGTGAAATATTTTTGTACATCTTTAAAAATGCAACAAAAATGTCATATGCCTCTACTGAACATTGTTTAATAGAAATAGGGAATGAAGCCCAATTAGCCTTATTTAAGTGGTGGATATAAACTTGTTCTTCAGGTGTAAGTTGTTCCCAAGCATGGGTACAATCTAAAAATTTAAGAGGGGTTTTAACAGATAATGACATGAAATAATTTTTAAAGTTTTATTTATTGAAGTTTTTCCTTTTTTTAAGAAATTTTATCAATTAGTCAATAAAAATTCGACAATGAAGTGTTAATAGATTTGTCATTTATTTTCAATTCTGTATTGGATATTATCCATATCATTCATCATTAAAATCAGTATTTGCTTTGATAGTATTCTCTTTCTTCTGTTGATTTATTCTTTTTATTTTATTTTTAAAGAATATCTTTCTTTATTTCTTATTTTATGTTGAATGAATATTGAATTACAACTATATTATTATATCTAGTTTCTTTTCTTATTATTCTTTCTTATTATCTTATTTCATTCTTTGTATTATTAATTAATACATTTTTTATTCAATTACATCATCATAATCAAATATCAATTGATATTTCATTATTTGATTTTGTATTATTGTTTGTGTTGTGTTTCTAACATGCAATTTTCGCATCTAATATTCTTCAATTAATCAAAAACAATATTAGCAAATTCACAAGTTGATGGATCAAACTCAGACAAACTTTCTTTTAAATGAAATGGAATTTTAAGGTGTAGTATTGGGGCTTTTACAAATGCATAAGTCTCTATTAAAGTTACAGAAGTTGGAATTGAGACTGAGGTTAATTTTGAGCAATTATAAAAAGCAAATTGTTTAATTTCTTTTAATGAAGGAGGTAAATCTATTGAGCTAATATCAGAATTTATAAAAGATTGTTCTTCGATGACTGAAATTTTATTAAACAAGTCATTTTCTATAAAGTTAATATCTTGTTTTGTATAATGAATGTTATTACATTGTGTTGATGAATTATCGAATAAAATAGCTTCAAATAGACTTACTGGATATTGAATTCTCTTATTATTTCTTTGTACTAACTTAGTGATTGAAGAAGAGTCAAAAGCATCAAAAGCAATTGAAGTTATTGAAAAAGGAAGTATCAAAGATTGTAATCCACAATGAAAGAATGCTCTATTTTCTATTGAATTAATGCCTTCTGGTATAACAATGTTTTGTAATGAAATACACTCAAGAAAACAATTTGGTGGGATTGAACGAATATAAGGAGAAAGAATGACTTCAGTTAGTCTCGTATTATATTCAAAACAACCTCTTCCAAGTTCATAAACACTTATTGGTAACTCAAAACTCGTTAATAAACATCCTTCAAAACATCTAGCTCCAATCCGTTTAACTTTATTTGGAATAGTTATTTTTTGAATACTTTTACTGAATGCTTCATTTCCAATCACTAATAAATTCTTTGGTAAATCAACAGTAGTTAATTGTGGACATTTTTTGAATGCATAATTTCCTATAGAAGTTAGAGATGATGGAAATACTACTTTTCTTAATAACTCACTTGAATTGAATGTATTTATTTCTATTGAATTAATTTTATCAGGAATAATATAAGTTTTCATTGACAAAGGTGTGATATGATCATGAATAGTTTTTAGTTTTGTTCCCAGAGTTCCTATATAATTAATTAATGTTGAGTATTCCAACACATTCATTTCAGTTAGCTTTAAATTACGAAATTCCATTTTATTTCTAATAAGTTCAGGAAATTCAAGGTATTGTTTATAGTTAATATCATATGCAATAATATACCTATACATTCCTTCTTTGATTTTATCTACTTTACTATACAAAACTTGAGTTTCAATATTATGAAATAACTTTAAATCTCTATGAGGATTATATTTATATTTATCTAATAAATCACGAAATTTAGAATTGACAAGTATAACTCTTCTGTAGTCATCACTTGTCATGAGATATTTACCAACAATCATCATAGAATATGCATCAATCTTACCCATTTATTCTTTTATTTTTTAAGTTTTAGGTTTTAAAAAAGAGGTATTGTATTAAATGGTATTTTAAAAAATAATTTTCAATTGTTAATTGTATTCATTCTACAAATACTTTTAATGTAAGTTTGTTATTTGGCCCATATATTGATTGAAAGGTTTTTTTATTATCTAATTCTTTTTTACAACAGATCATTTTCTTATATTCACATGGTGTTGTTAATTGATTAATGAATGCCTCTGGTTGTTTATTCATTACAATTTCATACATCCTTTTTAAATCAGCAATTTCTACATCTAATGAGGGGATGTCAAGACATACACTTTGAATAGTTTTTATAGCATTATTAATAACCCTTTCTTTCATTTCAATTAGATGAGGTGCAATTAATGGGTCAATCTCTATTTCTTGGCATTTTTTGATTGCCATTATTTTAGGAAGAGTTGTGTTAATCAAATTTAGGATTTCTCCAACTGTTTCTTCATTACTAAATTCCATTGAGAATTGAAATAATTCATTTACAATTTTTAACAGAACCATTTCTATTTTTATAGTTCTTTGTTTATTCTTTTCAATTTATTAAAAAAATTTCTTTTCTTTTTCTAAAAAAAATATTCAAAGCATAAAATAAACGATGAGAAATAACTTAATGAATTACTGATTAAAGAAAATGAATAATTCTACAAATATTGAAAAAGCGTTAAACTAAAATCAATAGTTTTGATTTAGGGGTTATGTATAGATTTAAATATTATCTTAATATCCATTCAAAAAATTAAAAAATAACAAGAGAATATTCACTAAATGATAGTAGGAAGTTAGTGATTCAACTAAGTTATTCTTTGGTTGAATTTAAAGACAATTCATAAATAAATAAAGATTCAGTTAGTAAGAAATAATTAGAATAGATTATAAAATTTTTATTTATTCTATAATAATAAAAGAATTTTAGTTATACCAAATATAATAAATATTTTATAAATATTTTAGTTGTAAATAGATTGAAAAATAACAAGAATTAATAATTTCGTTTGTTAATTTAATTATAAAGAATTTACATAAAACTAATCAATCTCCTATCATCTGATGATTTTAAAAAAAAAAAATACATGAGAATATTGGATTGATAAATAACTTTTTGGTTCAAAGATAATAAAACTCAACCCAATTATATTTTGAACTATCACAGTCATTTAATATAGTTATAGTAAATTTAAAACTAAAAATAATTTAACAAATCAAAAGAAAAACAAATATTAAAAAGTACAGGGTTTTTTAAACATTATGATTAAAACTGTTAATTGATACTGAAAACTATAATGTTGTAAGAAATAATAATAAAATAATAAATGATTGTAAAACACAAAAAACTATTTTGCCTCATACCCTTTTTTTGTTCTTTTATGAAGTAAAAATTCAAAAATTAAAAGGATAATGGATTTAATGTAAAGAAAAAAAGAAATAAAAAGGGAAAGAACTTAAAAAATTATATCAATGGATATTAACCAAGCACTTCAACTTATTACAAAAAAAATCACATCACATGAAATTTTGATGAAGGAAGTTATAATGGAACTAACACATATATCAACACAATTAGACGCAGTCAATTATCTTACACAGCCAACAGTTCGTGAGCCAATCAAAAAGATATTGATGGAACAATTTAGTCTTAATGATGAAATAGTTACCCAATATTCAAGGCAATTCAACCAAATTATTCCTGAGCAAGCAATTCATTTCGATGACGTGGCACAATTTGAGTCATATGTAATTGTTATGATAAATAATCAAAACAACACATACTTAGAGAAACTCGTTGAATTAGTTGACCCGTCATCCTTTAAATATATTGATGTATTAAAGAAATACTGTTATGACAAAATATTAATGAAACAAAATAAAGACCTTAGCAATAAGAATGATAAGTTAGTAGCTAAAATTGCTGTCATAGAGTCATTATTAAAAGATGCTAATTCTGAAATTAAGACTCTTCAAACAGAAAATAGTTCACTCAAATGTTCTGTTCAAAATTTAGAAAATAAAATATCTGATTTATCAAGAACTCCTACTTCTGTAAAGAAAGTTTTAACAGAAGACCCACAATTAGGTTATAATGAAAGTAAAACACCTCAAAATAATGTTAATAACAGTATGGATGTTTTAAGTACATTTTTCAAGAAACCTATGTTAAACAAGTATTCTACTAAAAGTAGTAGTTCTAGTGATGAAGAAACTGATCAAATGACTTTAGAAGGAAGGTCTGTTTCTTTAGGATTTTCATTTCCTAGTTTACCTATGGAAGAGACAATAAAAATGAAAATTGATGATATTGTAGAACAGGTCATGAGTGATTTGGTTAAATTAGCTGGATGTAAGCAAGGAGCAATGGTTATGGCTGTTAAGAAAAGTAAGACATTGACTGATGTGTTTAATGCAACTAAAGGGTGTCAAAAATTTATGATGATATATCAATTGAATAGTGGTGAATTATTTGGTACTTATCATTCAGTTCATCCAAATACACTTGGTGTTGCAGTTCAAGACAAACATATGTTTGCTTTTACACTATCAAACCCATTCAATGTTCCAACACAAAAATACAATTGGTTAAGACCTGACGAAGATGCTTTTAAAATAAGTGATACAGAAGTATTTATTGGAGGGTTAGGTGTATTTACTGATAAGCGAAATGGGTACATTTATGATGAAAACGAACCAGTTGATTTGTATTATTCAGACATGCCAATTCAGGCAAGAAAAATATTTTCTACTCGTTTAGCTCCAAAGAAATTCACTTGGAAAGAAATGGTTGTAGTAAAACTGGTATAAAATTTTTAAAATTCACTCTTGTGGTTGTAAAGTTTAACTACCAATTTTTTGTAAGCATTTCTTTCCAAATCTTTATTTCTCTATAAGTGTGACGTTGTTTTATTCTTCTTTTTTTCTTCTTTTTTAAAAAAGATAAGGTTTTAATAAGAAGACTTTTTTTCTTCTTATGTTTTAATTTTTTATACAGATTATTCGTCCTATATTTCTATTTCTTTCATTAAATATTATACTTTTCATAATTCTAAAATTTAATTATGTCAATAACTATTAACTAATAAAAATTTAGTAATTAAGTGTAAATAGATTTTTCATATATTCTTCTTTGTTCATAGGAGAATAATCCTATTCCTTCACTGGTTTTTTTTAAAAAAAAGAGTAATCTTTTTGTTTAACCTTTCATTTATGTTTTTCTTGGAAAATGAGAAAATCATTTATTTGCTTTATTTCTTCTTATTAAGGTTTTTCAAACTTCTTCTGATTATTCCTTCTTTTTAACCCTTTGTTTATTTTCTGCCTTAATTTTAAAGAATCTCATTTTCTCCTTACTTTTAATTTATTTTATGAATGAGAGAAAAAAGCATTTCATTAACATCATATTATTTTGACTAATCTTCTTTTAGTCTTAACTTCACCTTATCAGATTCTTTTCCTTGGTTAATAGATATTTCTTAATTTCTTTATTAATAAATACCAAACCTTATAGTACAATAAGTAATATTCCACCATAATAAATTGGTGCACCTTTTGCACCATTACCTAATACATTTCTAATTCAAAGGCACCATCATAACTAGATAATAACTGAGGGAGTCGAACCATGAATTATATTAATGTTTGTTTGTGGTGTTTCAGACGTGTCACCTTCGATCTCATTATGTCAATAATTATTAACAATAAATAAATTCACAGATATTCAATTAAAAAAATATAGTGAAATACTCAAGATACTTTTTATTTTATAAATGATTCTATTACATTTTTATTAAATTATTTTTAATGTTTAAAATGAAAGAAGAATTAACGACTATATAACAAATAAATAAATAAAATAAAAAAAAGGAACTTCTTAATTAAGATAATGAAAATGATAATGAAAATGATGATGGTAATAATGAAAATTATTTAGAATTCCATTGAATACCAAAAACAGATTTCTTTTTATTCCCATACACCTCTCCAGATACAGCATTAATTAATACATAATTTAATTCTCCTTCATAACGATAAGAAGTAAAACAAAAAGGGATATAAATTCTTTGAACTTTTGAACGTTCTTGAATAATTTTAACATTACAAGAATAACTAGAATCATTCGTAGAACTTTTTAAAGCAGTTTGTTTATATTCCCTTGTTAAAGCAGAAATTTGTCCTTGAACATAATTTTGATATATTCCAACAGGCTCTTTGGAATCTTCAAATAATCTTTTAGGAATGTCTTTTGTAATAAATGAATCATTTCCTTTAAACCATCCAGATAATTTATCTACTACTGATGGATTTTCTATTTGTTTGAGAGTTCTTGCATTTGGATCTTTTGGATCAAATTTATATATTCTTCCTGGTGGTATTATTACTTCATTTAATAACAGTGACCTATAAGGACTTGATGACTGCCATAAACATATTACATTACTTAGTGGTCGTTCATAATACCCAACACATCCATCACACCCAAATGTAAGTTGAATCCATAAAAATGGAATCATATGAATATCATCAAAAATAATAGGTTGACTTTCAATAACTTCTAATAATTTTTTTGATGAAAAAAGTCCAGAAGAAATCCATTTATTAAATAATTTATAAAGTTTCTCACTATCTTGTTCTTGTCTCATAAAATGTAATGGCAAATTATCATTATCAAAATTTGCTGATGAACACACTACATTCCCTGAGGCAACAGCCTTTTCTTGGTTATAGGTGTAATGACTCACAGAAGTGGGTGGAACTTCAAAAGTGGCTGGAACATATTCAGACCTTCTTTTTATTGGAGTATTAAATGACTTGGGCTGAAATTCTGATGGACTTTGAATACTTGGAGAATTCTGTTTTATTTGTGGTTGAACTTTTTTCGTAGGTGTATCAAAATGAGTTGCATTGAGTTTACTGGCTTTGTTTGGAAGTTGTGGTTTTTGTTTTATTGGAGCTCCATAGGCTGCAGCAAATTGTGGTGGAACTTCATCTTCTGTAAGGTAGTAAGTGTTAGAAGAAGAAGCTACAGAATTACTATTTAGTGATATCTCATCAAATGGATTTGTTGAATTAGTGTTTGGTTTTGGAGGAGGAAGAGGAGGTAATTTTTTGTGAGGTATAGGTTTATTTTCATATGTTGGAGTTGGTTGTACAACCTGACAACCTTCAAGAGTTGGATATACTGATATTGTTGGTTGAGACATAATAAATGAAGGTTGTTGAGGAGTAGGAATATATGGAGGTTGATATATTGGAGGTGGAACTTCTTCTGAGTAATCAACTGGTTGAACAGGTATTTGAACAGGAACAGGAATTAACAACTCATTCTCAGGAAGTTTTGTTTCATGAGAAGGAGAATTCTGAGTCTTGTTTTCAGGAATATTTTGTTTTGGCTCAGTATTTTGTTTCAATGGTTCAATAATTGGTAATACTTGTGGTGGTTGTAAGTTATAACTTTGTTCTTGTTGCACTTGTTTAGTAACAACTGGTTGTTGATTATCTTGAGGAAGATTGTGTAGTGTCAAAGAAATTAAAGGAGGACTAACAGTACTAGTATTATCAATTTCTTGTTTATCTGTAGTAAAAATGTCATCTATGTTCTAAAAATGAGTTTTAATGGATTTGTAAGAAACATCAATTGGAGTCATAAAACAATGTCAAATAAAAAAGTCATTCAAAAATAAATTAATAACAAACATGTGTATTCATGCATAATGGGCATTCCAATTCACTTCCACCAAGTAAAAGACTATCTACACAATCACTACAGATAATTTGACCACAAGGAAGTGTTATTGGATTAGTTAGAGGGGTTAAACACAATGGACAAGTCATCTAGAAAATATCTAAAAAAGATCTGTTAGAAAAAATAATAAAAATCTTTCAAGTAATGATCCAACATAATTTTCCTTCTGAACATACAATTGAATCTATTTCTTCATACCTTATTTCTCTTAATAAGACAATTAATTTACATTCAGTGTTATTAAACCATTATTTATCTCACACATTACATATTAATACTTCACCTCAAGCTATTAATTATCTTTCTCAACATCCTGATAACGACTTAATGAAATATTTACAATCTCTTTATTCTTTTTCTATTGAAGATTTTAATGCATTTACTTCTCATACTACTGAAATAGCTTCACAAGAAGATTCAACGAAAGAACAACTCATACAAATGTCTCCTGAAGCTTTTGAAATTGCTGTTGACTGTTCTGTAGGACGTATTCCACCATCACCATTATTACCAATTATTGCTAACTTAGCAGCACAAAAACAACTTAGTGATATTAAAGTGAGATATGTTGAAGAACGACTACCAGTTCCTTATTCAGTAGCACTTGTAAAAAATAAAACAGATGAATATGGAGGTA